AAAGATAGTAATACAAAAATTATTCTAGAATGGGTAACATTTCAAGGGTAAATGCTAGTGAAAATTGGGCAAGGGGTAGTGATGATATTGGGTGAAAATCAAGTATAACAATATACAGTCAGACCCCTCTAAGTACATATCATTGGGACCATTTTAAAATATGTTTGCACTTAGAGAGATTTGCATTTAGAGAGGCAACCAATAATATTTTAGTATATATATTAATATATAATATTATAATTAATTAATATAAAATTAAAAAATATAATAAATTTATTTAGTTAATATTATATAATATTAAAAAAATAGTTTTTTTATTATTGTTATATTACATATTTATTATCTATATATTAGACTAGATAAGATTCGATATTTATTTGTTTGAAAGATGTATTTCGAAACTTTTTTATTTCTTTATATAGTTTTAATAATGCACCATCATGTTCTGTTCGATTGATATCATTTAAATCTTGTTGTACAAGATATTGTCCCAACAATTCTACAGCATTTAATGCATCTTTATGAGTAATTTTTTGAATTTCGTTACTATCATCTTCTTCCATTTCCTTATTTTTATCTTCTGATTTTTGATAAGTAAATAAGTTATTTAATTTTTCTTCCGTATTTTTTTCTTCTAAGTAATCAATATACTCTTCAATATTCATTTTATTTTGAAGATGAAGTGCCTCAATATCTGTATATAATTCTTGTATTAACTTATCATCCTCATTATTATCATTGTTGTTATTGTTATTATTATTATCATCATTAATGGTATAAATTGGAAGAATTCCTGTATGGTGAAAACAATTATATATTGTTGTTTATAATACTTTGCTCCATGTCTGGACAATAAATCATATTGCTGTAAGAATATCCATTTTATTGTTTTCAACACCAGATTCATATTGATTAAGTAACCATTTCACAAAATAACTTCGATAGTGATGTTTGAAAGACATAATAATACCGGCGTCCATGGATTGTATACGAGAAGTTGTATTTGGAGGCAAGAAATAAATAGTTGTATTACGAAGATTTAAATTAGTAATAATGTGACTTGATGTATTATCTAATAAAATAATTGTTTTGCGACCAGTCATTTTTATATCAAATGCTTTAAGCCATTGTTGAAACAAAATACTTGTCATCCATGTTTTGTGATTTGATTCGTATGTGATACCAAGACTCTTACAGTTTATATTCTTGAAACAATATAGATTGTTATATTTGTCAATAACAAATGGTTTTATTTTATCTGTTCCATTAGCATTGGCACAAAGTACTAAAGTTAATTGTTCTTTATTTTTTTTTTTTCCTTTAAAACAAATAGTCGCTAATGTAGAATCTGATTCAAGGCTAATAAAAAGATATATTAGTAAAGATAAAGTATATATTTATTAATTATAATATAATTAATACCAATAAAATAATCCTGTTTCGTCCATATTATATATATCTCTTAAATCATATTCTTCTAACAATTCTTTTAATTGAGAAATAGCAGCAGTAGCAGCCATATAATCCGTAGAAGCATCTTCTCCATGTTTCTTTATTTGTTTCAGGCCATGTCTTTTTTTGAATCTGTCTAACCAACCATGTGAGAACTTGAAATCATTTTCAGATACATTTAACGTTTGAGCTAAATTTTTTGCTTTTTCTACTAGAATCACATCAGTTAATATTATTTTGTCTTGATTTCGCAGGACCCATTCAAATAATATACCTTCAATTTCCAGATATTGAAAAGCTCTTTGTCTCTTCATAGATGGATTTTTTTCAATATCTTCTTTGCCTTTAATTATGCGACTAACAGTACTCGAATGAATCACAAGATCAAAATTTTTTTTTATCCAATTGACAAGATTGTTATTGCTTGTATAAGGATTTTAGTCTTTAAATTTAACAATGGCCATTTTTTGTTCATTGTTTAAAGTGGTTCTAGTAATTTTTGAATCTTTAGAAGACATATTGATCACTACTTAAAGGTAAATAAAAAAGATTCGTTATTGATTATATTGTATATTATTTAAAATCTTTATTTTTTTGATTATAAAAATAAAAAAAAATCGATTAATACAAAAAATTATTTTTTAAATATAAATTTCATACTACTGTTAGAAATGAATGTGTATGCCTCAATTCACATGAATATTGTTAGCATGTAAAAAGGTGATAGAAAATAATAAGGAAAAAGGTATAGTAAGTATATCAAGTATATCAAGTAT